ACGAAGCGTGTGAGGGGTGTGCCAGAATGGGGCGGGGCCGCCATGCGAGCTGCGCCACTGGGACCATATGTGGAGCTCCTTGTGGGGCCACGAAGCGTGTGAGGGGTGTCCCAAATGGGACGGGGCCGCCATGCGAAATGTGCCATTGGGACCTTCGGTGGAGCTCCCTGGTGGGCCACGAAACGTGTGAGGGGTGTGCCACAACGGGGCGAGGCCGCCATGAAGGGTGCGCCATTGGGACCTTCGGTGGAGCTCCCTGTGGGGCCAGGAAACGTGTGAGGGGTGTGCCAAAATGGGGCGAGGCCGCCATGCGAGTTCCGCCGCTGGGACGTCAGGTGGAGCTACCTATGGGACCACGAAACGTGTGAGGGGTGTGCCAAAATGGGGCGAGGCCGCCATGCGAGTTCCGCCACTGGGACAATATATGGAGCTCCCATGGGGCCACGAAGCGTGTGATGGGTGTGCCAAAATGGGGCGGGGCCGCCATGCGAGCTGCGCCACTGGGACCTTATGTGGAGCTCCTTGTGGGGCCACGAAACGTGTGAGGGGTGTGCCAAAATGGGGCGGCGCCGCCATGCGAGACCCGCCACTGGCACCTTGGGTGGAGCTCCTTAATGGACCACGAAGCGTGTGATGGGTGTGCCGAAACAGAGACATGCGGACAACAACAACAAAGACGAGGAGGAAGGAGGGGGGCAGCGGGAGGAAAAGGAAGGAAGGAGGACGCGGGCGCTGTCTCTGCAAAAGAAGACCGAACGCCACAGGATGGTTGGGACAAGTTTTTTCTGGGGGGGAGTATTGTTTGGCTATTTTGAGTATCCTTTTAGTCTGTATTGTTTTTCCGACCAAGTCGCCTGCAGGGGGACGCGCCCGAATTGATCCTGGTCTTGAGAGTTGGGCGCGCCCCTCCAGAGACGGAGAAGTCAAACATACGAACAATAATAAACAGGGGGTGACTCTTCGATTAAGTTTGCCAAAGTTTGATTCTCGTAAGGCCATGTATCATTTTCCGTCCAAGCGGTTCAAACATAGTAGCATAATCAGCTTGGCGACGGACCCGACCATATGCAGTTGTGAATGCCGCAATTGTGAATATCATCTTCGCCCGCGCTCCCTATGGGGCCACGAACCGTGTGAGGGGCGTGCCACAATGCGTGGCGGGGTCCACAATACGAACAAAGACGGTCTGTCAGGGTGCGAGAGACTGAGAACAGGTGAGCCTGAGCGCCAGTGAGTCTGATTGTGGGTGAGTCTGCGTGCGAATCAGTCTACTTGCATGAATGTCGACGCCCACGTCGGCACGCTCCTCACGAGGATCGCGCCCGCTTCCTTCCATTTCCTTTTTCTGCTTCTTTGCCCGTGCACGCCGATGTCCATGGCTGCGGGCGCGGCGCCGCACGGAGTCCCCGCGACGCACGCCGGTCGCCCCGAAGGGGTCCTGGCGACGCGCGCCCCGAAGGGGCCCCTACGTGGTCCCACGAGGAACGCGGTCAGCGCGTATTGCAGGAACAAGTACGACTGACAGCGGCTAAACGATCTCACGGGTCAGTGGGGTTCTCCATTGACCACCTGGGCGCGGGGGGCTCGCGGTACAGGGGGCCCCTCGTGCCTTGGCATTTTGCCTAAACAATCTCACCTGTCCACCGTGCCCACCTGGCTCTCTGTGTGTGTTGCGTATGTTCAACATTCATCTGGGACCATCTTCCGGCATGTCTGGCCAGCAGTACGTTGACACAAGCTCGGCGTCTTTTTTTCTAGCTGGCTGGAGGGGCTCCTCAGGCCGTGCAGTTTGGCTCTCACCTTTATCATAGCTTTTTCATGTAATTCCCTTGCGTTGCACTTTTAGCCACTTGGTTTACTTTACGGGCATCGTTGAGGCTTGACCCCCCACCTCCGTCTTTAAACGGGGTCAAGCCCTGCTGTCTTCATAGTGTCGACTTCGTCCGCTGTGGAGCTCGACTTTTGTCCACTATTACTCTGCACGCTGTGCTGTCCCGAGGCTTTGCAAAGGTGGTACGTGGATCGCCAACGGCTGTATCCCTCATTACGCGCCCTCGGTGTTAGTGTGATTTGTCGTGCCGGCGCCGCTCGCCTTGGAGGTGGGGCTTGGAATGCCGGGCAGGTTGTGGGCAATGCTTTTCTGAGTTGCTCTGTGTGCACGTCCCTGTCGCTTCTCTCCTCCTTGTCTTCTTCTCTGCAGTTGAATGGCACGGCTCTCTGGAATCCTAATTTTTATCGTGGCCCCGGCCCTCCCTGCCCCCACCTGCGGGGCAGGGACACGATGGGGGCGGCGTGGCACGGGAGCCCGGGCGGGCTCCGCACTCTGTGTTGAGTTTGTTCCTTTTTTGTCCCTACCACGCGCGCCCCCGGCCCATGCCGGAGAAGGCGGCACGGGAGGTTGCCCACAGCCTGCAGCTGGCACTGGGCTCGACCACAACCTCACGCTCCTTTGCGCATAGCAAAGAGGGCTAGTTGGCTGGCTGATAGCGGGCAAGGCTGTGGCCGCTGGGCAGCGCGGCGACTGGGGCGAACGAGGCTCTGGGCACAGTCCTCCTCGTTCTCCGCCCCCCTCCTCTTCTTCCTCCTCCTCCTCCTCGTCCCCCTCCTCCTCCTGCTGCGGATGGCGCTCGCTCGACGACGCGCCGCTGGCGCTTGCAGCGGTCGGTGCGTGTGTGTGTGTGTGTGTGTGTGTGTGTGCGTGTCGGGCCATTTCGCTCCCTGCGAAGCAATCGTTTAAAAGGCCCCCGAGGCATCGGGCCCAAGATGCGGTCAGATCTGTGACCAAATCCCTGCGTCTTTGGCCTTGCAGACGGAGAGAGAGAAAAAGAGAGAGTGTGTGAGAGAGAGAGTGTGTGTGTGTGTGTGTGTGTGCCCAACTACGATGTCGGGAGTGACGGGTTCCATGGAACCTCCCCCCTCCCCCTGCGCCCGCCCCCCAGCCCAGGCGCTCGCCCGAGCGCGGTGGCGGCATCGCGCGGCGGCGCCGCTGGACTATCTATGTCATGGGGCGGCGCCGCCATGCGAGTTCCGCCACTGCGACCTTTATGTGGAACTCCCTATGGGGCCACGAAACGTGTGAGGGGTGCGCCAAAAGGGGGCGGCGCCACCATGCGAGTTCCGCCAGTGAGACCATAAGTGGATTTTTTTGTGGGGCCGCGAAACGCGTGAGGTGTGTGCCAGAATGGGACGGGGCCGCCATGCGAGCTGCGCAATTGGGACCTTAGGTTGAGCTCCCTGTGGGGCCAGGAAACGTGTGAGGGGTGTGCCACAATGGGGCGAGGCCGCCATGAAGGCTGCACCATTGGGACTTTCGGTGGAGCTCCCTATGGGGCCACGAAGCGTGTGATGGGGTGCGCCACAGTGGGGCAGGGGCGCCATGCGAGCTGCGCCAGTGCGACCTTAGGTGGAGCTCCCAGTGGGGCCACGAAACGTGTGAGGGGTGCGCCACAAGGGGGCGGCGCCGCCATGCGACTTCTGCCAGTGGGACCTTAGGTGGAGCTCCTTATGGGGCCACGAAGCGTGTGATGGGGTGCGCCACAGTGGGGCGGGGGCGCCATGCGAGCTGCGCCAGTGCGACCTTAGGTGGAGCTCCCTGTGGGGCCAGGAAACGTGTGAGGGGTGCGCCACAAGGGGGCGGCGCCGCCATGCGACTTCTGCCAGTGGGACCTTAGGTGGAGCTCCCTATGGGGCCACGAAGCGTGTGAGGGGTGCGCCACAATTGGGCGGGGAAGTGTATGAGGGGAGGGAAGTAGCAGAGAAGGAATGAGGAGGCGGAGGCGGAAGTGGCGGTGTCGGCATCGGCGGCGGCGAAAGGAGGAGGAAGACCAATGTAAACCCAAGAGCCATCAACGATGTTGGAAAACACCTCCTTTCCAAACCCCTGTTAATAGGCCCCTACAACGGTCCATACACCTTGAGGGATCAGCCTCGTTGGAAGACAACCGTTTGAAGACCCGGAAGCATGCCAACACATTGTTCTCGGGATTCCAACGCCACGGATCAACCTGACTGTTGCGTCAAGGCGATCTTGGATCGTGCCAGAATGCCATTTTCTGGATTTTAACATTGCGAATCAACGTAATTGCTGCACCCGCAAAATCCAGAATCCTTCCAAAACCATTATTGGTACGTTGATCGTGGGAACCCGTGAAACTTTTGCAAATTTTATGAACGAATGAATTTTATGAACTTTTGCAATCCGTGAAACTCTTGCTAATGTTTGAAACGAATGTGCGCGGCGCTAAGGCGAGAACCACATGTTGAGAACGGGTTATCCTCAATTCGTGAAGCTCTTGCCATTGTTTAAAACGAATGTGCGTGGCGGTAGGGCGAGAGTCACATTTTGAAAACCACCCGCCCTCCATTTGTGAAACCGTTACCAATTTTTCAAAGCTTCAGAGTCAGAAGTGGTGAGGAAGTCTCAGGCGAAACGCCCGGCCCGCCCCCCAAAATGGCCTCGGGGTGCGACAGGGAGAAGTTATTTAGAAGGAACAGGAATGAAGGAGGAGTCGGGGGTGGACGTGGGCGTCGCCCCAATAAACTTATACCATATGTGCGTCGCCCCCCCCCAGGGGCGACGCGCGCACCGTGAAATCTTAGAGTACATGCGTCGCGGCGGGCGCTTTTGGGCCGCACCGCTCGGGAAACGATCTACTCCAAGATGGGTCTACTATGTTCGGGTCGGACGCGCGCCTCCAAGGAGGGCGTGTAGAATTAGTGTGCCCCCGTGCGTCCCAGAGCAGGGCGGGGGGAGCAGCGGCCAGGATTAAATCGGGCCTGTCCCCCTACAGGGGGATTCCCGACGAAAAAGAAATGATACCCCAAAGATAGTCAAACAATTGTCCAAAAATAGTCTGGGGGCTGTTTCTTGAGTATGTTGTGGCCTTTTTGGGGTATTTTGGGGGTATCTTTGGTTTTTCGTCGAAAGTCCCCCCCTTGTAGGGGGACAGGCCCGGAAATGAGGCCGGGAGAGAGGCCGCCGCCCGCCCGGGCCCGCGCCGCGAGGCCGCCGCGATGGTGACGAAGGCGATGCAGGAAGCGAGGCGGGGCCGCCCGGGGGGGAGGGGCGGCCGGCGGCGGCGCAGATCGAACCAACAATTGGCAGCATGAATTAGCGTCCCCCCCCCCCCCAAGGAATTCACAAAAACCACTCGCTGCGCTGCGCTCTGGCGTTTGAACTCATAAACTAGGACTCGATTGGACAGGACACGCGAGAAGGCACAAGACCCTTGCGATGGCCACATCGTCAACAGGAATGCAGGACGCACGGGTCGCGAGGCACAGGACACGAGGGTACCCTTGGTTTGGCAGGGTCGACCTACAAATCTGGGCCGACTGTACGCGGTTCTCAATTCGAGAGCCGCTCGCTGCGCGCCGCGCTCCGGGGCGCATCTGCCAAGGATGCCACAATGAGGCCCAAACCCTGGTAAAGCCAATGATTTTGGCTTTCTCGCCGAGGCCGTGTTGGACGCTCCGACGACTCGCGAAGCCCCCTTCTCCAGGTCCATGGGGAGGGGTAAGGGGCGGCGCGGCGGGCGGCGGCGGCGCGGTCGCCCACTCGTGCCGTCGAGGCCGACTGCGTGGTCGGTCGGACGTGGCTAGGACGAGGGGAAATCCGTGCCACGGCGTTCCGTCACGCTCCCAGAGCGTTCCGGAGCGCTCCGAGAAGGCCGCGGCGCCCGGTGCATTTTCCACAGCCGCCAGATCTCAGGAATTCTCGTTTTATCCTCGACCGGATCTATCCCCGTCCTGGCTTCGTCTTAGTCGGGGGCTGGCGAGCTGGTTCGGGCTCGCGCCCCAGAGGGGGGGGGAGGGTGGCCTGGGGGGTTCCTTGGGGCCTACGCCGGCCAATTAGACCTTGCACCGGCGAGGCCGTGTCTACACTGGCGGCGCGCTCTTTACCGGCCAGGTGGACCCCACGGGCCGGAGGCGTGAATGCTCGATTTTGTGAATCGGAGATTGCAAGTGTACATTTGAGGATGTACATTGGGATTCTAAACTTTCAAGGTTTTTCTTCGCTTTTGACTAGCTGGTGTTATAACCACCATGCCGCCGTAACGATCACTTTGGGGCACGGGTGATAGTGATGACGAGGGTGATGTTGGTGATGACCACGACGCTAATGACGCTGACCGCGATGCACTATCATGTTGGTGATGGGTTTATGATTGTGATGATGATTATGATGATGAGTATGAGAATGGTGCTGGATCGTTATGGCGTTGACATGATGGTGTTCAAATTTGCCATGAGGATTCTGCTTCTGATGATGCCCTGAGGAGGGAGTCGGACGAGGTGGGAGGAGGAGGGAGGAGGAGAAAGGAGGAGGAGTGTAGAAAATGGTGGAGGATTGTGGAGGAGGAAGAGGAGGCGGATGAGGGGGAGGAGGAGGAGGAGCAGGAGGAATAGGAGGAGGAGGACGAGGAGGAGGGGGACGGGGCATGATGATGTTGATGCTGATGCTGCTGCTGCTGTTGCTACTGCTGATGGCGATGATGATGACGATGCTGATTGTGAGGATGATGATGATGATGATGATGATGGTGATGATTTTGATGATGATGATAATTCTGATTCTGATGATGCTGGTGGTGGTGGTGGTGATGATGACATGGATAATACTAATACTGATGATTATGATGTTGATGCAGATGATGATAATGGTTGTGATGTGATGTGATGATGCTGTTGATGATGATGCTGATGCAGGTGCTACTGCTGATGATGATGATGTCGAGGATGATGCTGCTGAGAATGCTGATGAAGAGGATGGTGATGATAATGTTTATGATTATGAGGACGATGCTGATGATGCTGCTGATGATGCTCCAGGTGATAGTGATGATGATGGTGATATTGAGGATGTGGTTTTTGCTGTTGTTGCTGCTGCTGCTGTGGTTGTTGATGTTGCTGTTGTTGTGATTATTGTTGATGTTGCTGTTGTTGTTGTTGCTGTTGTTTTTGTTGTTGTTGTTATTGTTGTTGCTGTTGTTGTGGTTGTTTTTGTTTTTGTTGTTGTTATTGTTGTTGTTGTCGTCGTTGTTGTTGTTGTTGTTGCTGTTGTTGTTCGTTATGATGTCGTGGTTGTTATTGTCGTTGTTGTTGTTGATGTGGTTGATGTGGTTGTTGTTGTTGTTGTTGATGTAGCTGCGGTTGTGGTTGGTGTTCTTGTTGTTTGTGTTGTTGTTCATGTTGTTGCTGCTGTTGTTGCTGTCATTGTTTTTGTTGTGTCATTGCTGTTGTTGCTGTTGTTGTTGTTGTTGATGTTGTTGTTGTTGCTGTTGTTGTTGCTGTTGTGGCTGTTTTTGTTCGTCTTTATTGATGTGGTTGTTGCAAATGTTGTTGCTGCTGTTGTTGTTGTTGTTGTTGCTGTTGTTGCTGTGCTTGGTTTTCTTTGTTGTACTTGCCCCATTCCTCTTGTTTTTGCTCTTGTTTTTGCTCTTGTTGCTGTTATGATTGCTGTTGTCGATGGTGTTGGTGATGGTGATGATGATAAGTGGTGATGACGATGAAGAAGAAGATGCCGATGATGCGGCAAATTACGATGATGCTCATGATGCTGCTGCTGATGATGATGATGTTGATGATGATGCAGCTGCTGCTGCTGATGACGATGCTGATCATGATGCTGCTGATGATGCTGATGATTCTGATTATGATGATGGTGCTGATGCTGATGCTAATGCCGATGACGATGATGCTGATGATGATGATGAAGATGATGATCCTGATGATGATTATGATGATGATGCTGCTGATGATGAGGAGGATGATGATGCTGTTGACGATCATGATGGGGTGATGAATCTCACCCTGGTCATGGTAGTGGTGATGGGACAACATCCAGGCGGCAGGAGGAGGAGGTTCAACATATGCCAAGCACGTCCAGAAACCTTCCGGAAGAGGGTTTACGAGGACGACGGGAGGAGGAGGAGGAGGAGGAGGAGGAGGAGGAGGAGGAGGAGGAGGAGGAGGCGGAGGAGGAGGCGAAGGCGGAGGCGGAGGGGAGGCGGAGGCGGGGGGGGAGGCGGAGGCGGGTGAGGGGAGGAGGAGGCAGAGGAGGAGGGCGAAGGCGGAGGCGGAGGAGGCGGAGGCGAGGAGGAGGAGGAGGAGGCGGGGAGGGGAGGAGAGGAGGAGGAGAGGAGGAGGAGGAGGAGGGGAGGAGGAGGAGGAGGAGGAGGAGGAGGAGGAGGAGGAGGAGGAGGAGGGAAAGATGGGGAGGCCCTCGGCGGCCCTCGAAGGCCTTCGCCAGCCGTCAGTGGTCCTCGGCGGCCGTCGGAGGCCCTCGGAGGCCCTCGGCGACCGTCGGGAACCCTCGGAGGCCCTCGGCGGATCTCCGAGGCAGTCGGCGGCCATCACTTCTGGGGCGCGTTGTGGGACGCATTCTGGCCAGCATTCAGGAGGACAAAACACAGAAAAGCACAGAACAGGCGCTTCCCAGGAACTGATGGAAATTACGGGAAGCGGAGGGGAAGACGAGACTTAAAGGATTATGACAATTATGAGGAATCCTGGGATTCTGTGTCCATGTATTTGTATGTGTGTGTGTGTGTGTGTGCGTGTGTCCGTGGGCCCCTATCTGGGGTCTCCGAAATCCAAGAGTCACACTGCCAGGGGGGGGGCTGCGGAGTGGACTCACGCAGCTTCACCGGGGGACCCGGGGGTCAGCTCCTGCCGCACCCCACTTCCGTCCCCCGTCAGGCGCGCCCATGTGGCGGATCTCCCATTTTCGGGGGGTAGGTTTAGCAGTTAGCTCATATGTATGCTGACATGAATCCTCCGAGCCCGTTGGTCAAGGGAGGCAGGGTCAGCACTGTTGACCGTGACACTTTGGCTCAAGGCAAAGGTTATGATGTTCCAACCTGCTTTAGCCTTGATCACCAAAAGAATTCCGAGCACCGACAAAGTACCGAACTTCGAGGGTTTTCACGTGTCGGGCCCTGGGAGACACTTGTCCGACACTGTTTCGACACTGTTGCGGCACTCTTTCGACATTTTTCTGGGTGCTCGAAATTATTTCTGGGATGTGGTCTTTCAGAACGGTGGGAGCAATATAAGGCAAAAGGGCTTTCGCTCATCCTGCTGCTGCCACACCCAGGGACCTTCAGGGACCTCCAGAGGCGATGCCGCCCCCCCTCAGGGTGCACCAGGGGAGCGAGGCGATCGAGGAGGAGGAGGAGGAAGAGGAGGAGGAGGACCAGTGTAAACCCAAGAGGCATCAGCGATATTGGAATAAACCCTCTCTCCAAGGTCCCTCTTCATAGGCCCCTACAATAGTTCAGTTCTACTGAGGGGACTGCCTCTTTGGAAGACAACTGTCTGAAGACCCTGAAGCATACCAAAACATTGTTCTCGGGATTCCAACGCCACGGATCAACCCCACTGTTGTGTCTTGACGATCCTGAATCGTGCCAGAACGCCTTTCCCGGGACTTGAGCACCGCGAATCAACATAACCTGTGCGCCCTCATAAGAATGAATCCTTCCAACACATCATTTCTGGTACGTTGATCATGGAAATCCGTGAACCTCTTGCAAGTTGTTTAAGACGAATGTGCGTGGCGCTAGGGCTAGAGCAACATAATGAAAAGGAACCGCCCGCAACCCGCGGAATTCGTGCAATGTTTAAGACGAATGTGCTCGGCGCTAAAACGAGAGCTACATTCTGAAAGCGACTCGCCACAATCCGTCAAAGCTTTGAACATATTACAACGAGTGTGCGCGGCGCCAAAATGAGAGCCACATGTTGAAAACGTATCGCCCTCAATCCGTGAAACCTTGTTGCACACTTTTAAGACGAATGTGCGCGGCGCTGAGAGGAGAGCCGCATTTTGAAAACGACTCGCCCTCAATCCGTGAAGCACATGCATTTTTTGGACGAATGTGCGTGGCGCTACGGCGGGAGCCACATTTTGAACATGACCCGCCCTCCATCTGTGAAGCTGTTGCCAATCTTTAAGCTTCAGAATCATAAGTGGTGAGGAGGTCTCAGGCGAAACGCCCCGCCCGCCCTAAACATTGGCGTGGGGTGCGAGAGGGAGAAT